AAGCAATTCTCTTGTCTCAGCCTCCCGAGTAGCTGGGACTAAAGGTGCCCGCCACAACACCTGGCTATTTTTAGAGATGAGGTCTTGCTCTTGCTAAGGCTGGTCTCGAACCTGTGAGCTCAGACAATCCACCTATCTTGGCCTCCATGACTTATTTTACAAGAAGTTGTAATAGATATGAAATAGATCTTCCAAGTCTATTAGTGCAGTGGTTCTCAACCTTCCCAGTGCCGTGAGCCTTTAATATAGTTCCTCATATTGTGCTGGGCCCCAACCATAGAATTATCTTCATTGCTACTTCGTAACTGTAATTTTACTACTGTTATGAATCTTAATGTAAATATCTGATATGCAGGATGTATTTAGGCGACCCCTGTGAAAGGGTCATTCAGCCCTCAAGGGGGTTGCGACCCACAGATTGAGAACCACTGTATTAGTGGCTTCTGAATTGATTTGGGGAGGAACAAAGCAATTGAGTTAGCAATTCAACTGGTTGATTTTGGAACCTAAAATGGGTTATGAGTGAATCGAGTCCCAGAGAGCTGCAAGGGAGCATCACTGCCCCCTGGGTCTGGAAGCTGATGCCCACCACTGCCAAGCCTCAGGCTGCTCTGGGCTCTGTCTCCCCATCTGTTAAACTACGGGGTCAGAGCAAATGAGGTGTCCCACGGCCCTTATACTGCTGATGTTGGGTGGCACAAGCACATGGCAAAGCAGGGACAGTACCCAGGACTCTTGCTTGTGGCCTCCACCACGTGGTTCTTCCCAGCAGTCAAAGCCCGAGTCAAAGGCTGCTGTTCAAGGCAGTTTATTGAATTGTTAATCTGCTCCTATATGTGCTGGGCCCCATGTCTTCCAAGCTCCAGGAAGCGCCCTATGTACCTGCCAGCCTGAATGCAGGGGTTAACCCTGCTCTGTGGGACCATAGTCTTCACAGTGCCCTAGGAGCTGTCCCCTGTCTTTGTGGGGGGCTGGGGTGGATAGGGGGCCTGGGCAGTGCCAAGGAGGCTGGCTTGGCACTGGGCTGTGGCATGTCTGTGCATGAGTGGCCCTGGGTTTTCTCCAGGCTCCTCACTGAAGGAGAGGCAGTGGGCATGAGGCCTCTGAATCCACTTACGTGGAGGTGACTGCACTCCAGGATCAGTGCAAATGGGGAGTGAATTCAGGGATCCAGGACATTCTCAGAGGCACCTTCCAGCCCATGCCCAGAGGGTGTCCACCCACCAGAGGCTGACTGGTCTGTCCTACGGTCTGGACCTCACTACAGGGAGCTGTGGTCAGGGTCCAGGCAGGGGAGCAGGGAAGGAGGTAAGCCTCCCTGGGAGGCCTGGGGCCAGCAGAGGAAGGCAGAAGGAGCCAGCTGCTCAGATGAGGGCAAAGCAGCCCAGAAGGGCCCTCACCTGCCTGTGTGGGGCAGGGGGCAGAAGGTAGAGGGCAGGGCTGTCGGGGCCCAGGGTAGTTGGGCACTGGGACAAGTGGAGGACAGGCAGGGTAGGAGGAGGCTGGGCCCTCCCTAGAGGCCCATCACTTGTCCGTGTGCTGCAGCAGCAGGGCCACGGCCTCTGCGAGGTTGTCCACGTACCCGTCAGCCTTCACTTCCGGATGGTGCTCGTCTGTGGACCTGGACAATATGGCCAAATGTTAGTCAGTGACCCCTCTAGAGCCATACCCTGCGGGCTGCAGGGAAGCTGCCTCCTAGCATCTAGTGCAGACCTGGCCTACCTTGAGGAAGCCTCCGGGCCCTCTATGGCCACCAGCACTCCCCCTCCTCCCCACCCCCTCAGTTGCATGCTCCTCCCTCCTGATTGTCCCTTCTGCCTGGACACCTCCCCAGATCTGGTTCAGTCCATGACTCCAGCAGAAGAATCTCGAACCTGTGAGGGCCGGACCAAGAGTGCACCTTGCTCAGAGCCCCCTGAGAACCCCTAACAGCTCTGGCCTGGCCTGGGGCCCAGTGAGAAGAGCTTTGTGTGCATGTGCTAAGGGCACAGCCAGGATGGACTCCCAGAGCTCCCACCTCCCCAGATGCTGAGTCCTGGGGCATCCACAAGAGCACATGCCATCTGTTCTGTGCTCTGTTGAGTCGTTCCTGCCTGACAGAGGAGGCCCTGGCTCCTGGGAAAGCCACTCTCTGCTGTAATTCTGGGGTAGAAGTCACCCTGAAGCCTTCCTCCATTCACCAAACATCTCCTGAGGTCTGGCTGGGCGCTGTGGAGCCAACGGGGCCCTGCCTGGGGACTTTGGACAAGGGGCTACGGGCCAAGGATACATGGGTGGGGGAGGGACACACGAAGGGGTCAGTGTGGACTTGTGGGGACATCCCAGAGGCCAGGGATTTGAGGAAGTGGGACTACAGCGACTTCAATGGCCATGGGGCTGTGAGCCAGAGCCAGGTCCTGTCCATTGCAGGATCCCCCACAACCTTGTATCCAGCTGGAGCTTGACAAGAAGTAGTGTCTGCCCTCTGTAGACCTACCATTGCTGAAGGACCTGCTGCTCTGCTCAGATCATCCTAGGGCCTAAACCAAGCTCCCTGAGAAAGCAGGGAGATCCCACCATTCCGTCAGCCAGTGCCACCTCGGAAGCTCCTACCCTGGTCGGGAAGGAAGTGGTTGAAGTTGGTTCTGACAACATCTAAAGCCAAGATGTCCCTTTCAAAGGGTTTGGTTTCTGCATTTGACTTTACCCTAGAATGACTGTCATGGGCAACCCTTTTTCTTTTAAATGGTTTTCAGCTAAGTGGTCTGAAGGCCACCTCCTGGCAAGGAGAAGCCTCCTCAAAGCCTGTTAAGTCCCCAAACCTGGGCAGGGAGGGCAGTGAGGGCTCTCCTGTGCTGGGAGTGTCAGGGCCCGGGACTGGCCAGGTCTCGGGCCCAGCTTAGGTAGGTTCTGGACGCGGACCACTAAGCTACCTAGCTCAGGAACAGTTCCTCGTAGGTGCTTGAGGGCTATCTACTTTAGCTGGAGAGAGAGAGACAGAGTATCTTAGAGAGAGTAAAAGTCTTCTTAGAACAGATAGCTCTTAGTCTTTAGCAGAGCTTGGTAATCTTCAGCAGAGACGCCGTGCTGGCGTTCTGCAGGCAGGAGAGGAGACAGAGTCAGAGTAAGTGGATCCCTGATAGAATGCGCATGCTTTTTGACTGCCTTGTCCTCCAGCCTATATAAGGCTGAGCTCGTGCTTCTCAACACCACAGGTGTAGAGACTGCCAATTCACCAATGCTCTCATCTCCTGAGCTCTCTCATGCTTATTAGAACCAAATCTCTCTCCACGCCCTTTTCACCAAGGTGTTCCATTACAGGTATTTCTTATAACTCTCACTCCTCCTAGCCATAGGCTATACGG